TTTGAGACTTGCCTCAACACGGTCCATCTCCCCTTCATCCTCCAAGCTTTCTTCGTCAGTGCCTTCTGCATTGTGACCTCTCACTGGCGCTGTCTGTACTAAGTCTTTCATAGCCTCAGAAATACGTTGCTGGACAGACCCATCCAATTCCCTGATGCGCTGGTCGAAGTGCTGGCACAACTGTTAATTGCCAGCCTCACATTGGTGAGTTATCATTTGTGCTATCTGCTGCTGACGCACTGCGTCTAATTTCTCCAGTTCAGCAATACGCTGGTTGAGCGCCTTGATCAGTGAAAGAACTGCAGTCTTTGATAACTTGCCAGTCTCTCCTGCCTTTGAGTCCGGAAGTGCCGTCATTGACGCTGGCCCTCCCTGCTGCATTACCGGATGACCATAGCTCATAGGAGGTGCACTGAATGCCCCTGCATTGCTAGGCCTTCACCCAATGCATCTAGGAATTGTCCTGCTGGGTAAGAGAGGTCCATGTTGTGCACAGTGAGGAGGAGGAGAGAGTTGTTGAGCTCATCTTCATGCCGCAGTAGTTATGTCGTGTTTGATGCATATGTCGAAGATGTCATGTAGCAACAGCTTTTGGAAGCCCAGAATCTTTGCTTCAATGTAATCTAAGAATAATCTTACAATAATGTCAGAGAAATGCATAGCGTATTTTGGGAAATGATGTCTAATTCTGTAAATCCCTTCACACTTTCAACTGGTAGAATTTTGTGGATAATCTCGGGATAATCTTGGGTAATCTCAAACTTTTCTCTCATTAACCTCCCTTCATATTCTGTGGCTTTACACTGTGAAAGCTGGCCTGACCTAAAAGTCCTCCATCAAGACTCATTCTCATCCAAGCACTGCAGCATATACGAGGATGAAGCGCCTTTTCATGTGGGCCATAATCAAGCTCTATGAAGAAGGCAGTATCATGCTCTATGACAGACCTTTGCCCCATCTTCTGGCTCCATTCTGGTCTTGAGCCTGATGTTTCGTCTCCTGGCCTTTCTTCAGCCAAGCGCATCATTCCTATCCACCAATGTATGAGGAAGACAAGGCCTATGTTCCCGTGACACTGACGCTCCTCGCCACACCTGTGCAGGAAATCATGCTTTACCTTGTAGCATTTTCTCATTACTCTTGTCTTTACCGTAGATTTGAACACATAGGGAGCTCCTTCGAGTACACGTGTTCTGATGGCTGCTAGCCCCACAATTTAATCATTTAGACCACACTTGCTGAGAAGATCACAAAGTGAGATGGTCATTGACTAATGCTGTGCACACTAATTAGTAATGAGACATGTCCAGGCCGTTGTCTCTTCATGTTCTCTTTGTAGATTTTGATGGCATGAAGTCTAACCCCTCTACACTGGTAAAGACGACTGTGGTTCAGTGGCAAGCACAGTATGGAGATATACCTGCTGAATAGTTTGTTTGGTTGGACGAGTCAAGTGTAGACAACAAAACAAACCAGCATATGGAGGGCTGGGCTCCCATTGGCCTTGCTTGTGTTCATCGAGCAACCTTCATTCGAGACCAATGTTTCTCTGTATTGCCTGCATTCTCATGTGAAGGCATCATCACACTTGACATCTTTGAGGGCTTGGTGAACAAGGAATGGTTCATGAAATTTCTCAATGATGATCTTGTGAGTACCACACCTGATAACAGCTAATGTCAGTACTCAATCATTTGTCATGCAGGCCCCAAAGCTTTCACCCTATCCTGGCCTTCGTAGTGTAGTAGTGATGGACAACTATGCCATTCATCACGATGCAGAGGTCCGTGCTATTGTCGAAGGGGAATGTGGTGTTTGCATGTGTGTGTTATGCGCTAAACCCAGCAAGGGGTATTTGAAGCATGGCCTTTGGCACTAGCCCAGCAAGGAGCTTGCCTGTGCTAAGTCTAAGTAAGGGTTTGAAGCCCTTACTTGTGTAGAGTTGATTGGAAAGTCTCAAGGATACAATCCAAGAGAATGGAGTTCAACTCAAGAGTATTGTCTCAAGGCATAGGGCTCGGTAGAAGCTGCAGCTTCTATGATATAGGGGAAAGAAGTGAGAGTTTCTCGCGTTTCAGAACAACCAGATCAAAAAGAAAAGAGATGAGAAAAAAATCATAACCATGGACTAGGTCTGGACAAGTCTGCACAGTTTAGCCACATGTCAGTGGTTGACAGAACAAAGAAAATGAAATAGCCCATAATGCTCATCCCGCTCTCAGATCTCAAAGTTGTTTTGAGTTTTTTTTTTCAGTCGCAATGATCCAGAGAATGTGCTCATACTCTGTTAGTTGTGGTGATTGAGCACCTTATGGTGCAAGTTATTTGTGTTATGATGTTGCTTCCTCTATTGGACTCTCACTTAGCATGTGATGTGAATTCCTTACTTACTTAGGCAGTGTTTACACTTGTTTACATAGACTTGCCCATAGGTAGCAAGTCCTGTGTTGGTTGCTCTTCAGCAACTGACACTGGACTATAGTCCTGTTCACTCTCATTAGCTCACTTGTGGCTTGGTTCACTTGGTTATTCTAACATGATTATCTTCTGCACTCAATGACTTGTTGTATCAGCTAGTTGGATGGATGGATACGTGTGCAGCATACCAGTGTCCTAAGAGAGATATCTCGCATGAAGGCATGGAAAAAGGTGACTTCAATCTTTCCATTTCCATGATTGTTCGTGGTGTAGCTCTTGAGTACCTTGTTCAGCCGTTTAAAGAGAAACGTCCAAAACCCATAGACAGGTCCATAATCATGCAACTGGTCGAAAATATGAGTCAGGTAGTGATGGTTTGGCTTGACATTGTCGTTATGTATCTCAGAAGTAAGACGTCAGAGTGTGTTACAGAATGAGGAGCCATTTGTTGAACATACCTTGATGAAACTGGTTAGATACTGGTTCAAAAGGAACTTGGCTCGTGGCATGTCAGCATCATTCACAGAACGACCAAGAATCAGTTTGAGAGCTGCAGTGAGGTGAAGAAAATTTTTTGCATCGTCAGGATGCATCCTCTCGACTGGTTTTGCTGATGGTTCAGCATCTTTCTTTGTGCCTTTGCCCTTTGCGATCTGATTGAGACGCGCCTTCTCCCGCTTGTCCCAGTTCTGAAGGTCCTTCTTGTTCTGTTCCTGATTCTTGGGTGACCATTCCTCCCATATCAGTGGAATCTAAGTGTTAATGAGAACAATGATATGACTTTGACATATGATTGACTTACGATAATCGGACAGAAAACCAATGCCAATCCTTTCCATTCATCAGACGTGAGAGATCCTCCTGCGGGATAGCCGACTTGCTCTGGAAGACGAGCCTCCCAAGGGGGCATTTCAAACTGGTTAATATTAATTGTTAGAGTTGTACAAGTTGAAAATAACGAACAGGGTACTGCGTCCAAATACGTGTGAATCTGATCTAGTTCTCTTGGGACACCAAGAGTTTTTGTGCGCTTACGAAGTGTGTTGGTCTTGATCCAGGAATCAAACCACTGGGTTCGAACAATCCCAAGAAGGATGTTATGCATGGGATCAATTATCATCATCCTCACAGGATCAAAGTACTTGAGGCGTGCCAATTCAAACCACTGGGTTGAGTTTGTCTTGAAGAATTCCTCGCGTGCCTTGTCCGACTCTAGTCGACAATACTCCTCTGCCAGTCATTTGTGATCTTGTCCATCTCGGGCAGGATATGCTGTAAGGTTGCATCTATTAATCAAGAAACTATGAACTTGACTATTACGCACCATCATACATCATGGCTTGTTCAGTTTTGAGATCTGCATGTGGTATATGGCAGTGGGTACAAAAACCTTCAGATTTACTGTGGTCTGCAAAGCCACAGACCTTGCACATGGCTGGATGGTTGCAACAGACAGCAACTAAGGCAACACGAATGTGCCGCCCTTGAACTTTGTTAGCTGGGCATCATCTGGAGGCAGTGGAGGGATATTACCGTTCAGAAACAGAGGAGTTTTCACTTTGATACTATGGTCACACAGGTGTATGAGGTCAGTAACGTAGTCTTGCATAAAATATTGCAGTTGATCTCTGTCACTTTCCTTTGGTCCTGGTGTGATTCCAAATAGAAGAAGATTACGAGGCCAATACCTAGACATATAAATAAATAAATCAGATGTTTTCTAAAGTACAAGAATACGTACTTCAAATGGTTTGGAAGGTTTGCGATACATGTTGATAGTATGCCTGAGCTATGAGATGCTGAGCTACGACTGCGCTGGTAATTGAATCTCCATGTCAAAGGCAAACATCAATGAAAATAACATATTGCAAAAGAAAGAAGCTCTCACCCATCAAATCCCAGAGTGACACCAATTCGCAGCTCATCAGGATCAGATCGGTCAATGCTGTTATCGAAAAATGGTGTCTGATCATGACCTGGGAGTGTTTTCCATATATCACCATCCTGAATACATGTCCGCTTGCCTGGCAGAGATGTAGTTCAACTGCACCAGGCATCCAATTCAGGCTCTATCCCTTCTTGATGGATGAGACGGAGTAAGGCACTCGAGAGGGGGTTTCGGGGGCATTGAAGGCATGGTTTTGGCTTGCCCTCCTTTGGCCCTTGTGCATCAGGTAGCACATTCCCATGTTCGGGTCCCAGGTATGACAAAGAGGATGTAAACAAAGTCTCATCGCACTTCAGACATCGGACATCTGGAGGGGAATCGTGTGGAAACACACGACAACACTTGATGCACATGGCATCAATTCGAAATGTGTCAGTGAGTCCAGTGTGACCAAAGGCTTGTTAGTTGTGGTGATTGAGCACCTTATGGTGCGAGTTATTTGTGTTATGATGTTGCTTCCTCTATTGGACTCTCACTTAGCATGTGATGTGAATTCCTTACTTACTTAGGCAGTGTTTACACTTGTTTACATAGACTCGCCCATAGGTAGCAAGTCCTGTGTTGGTTGCTCTTTAGCAACTGACACTGGACTATAGGTATAGTACACTCATTAGTTTATACAACACAAAAGCAACTGACACTGGACTATAGTCCTGTTCACTCTCATTAGCTCACTTGTGGCTTGGTTCACTTGGTTATTCTAACAGGTTATGAGCCCTGCGCTTTAAGGACCTCAAGTCATTCATTCCTCATCCAACTGCTGCTCCACTCCTTCCCTAGTGTATTCCATCGCATTCTACGCCCCAGGAAACCCTTATCTTTGTGTCTGAGCACCATTTGGACTGTTGGAACACCCATTGTGTTGCTTTTGAGTAGTTCAACCAAGTGGCTTTGTTGAAATTTTCCATAGCCCCTTTTGGTCATCTACCCCCTGTTGCTCACTCCCACCCCTGTTGCTCCCTGTCCTGTCCATTGCTTTCCTGAACGTCCTGCATCATCCTAGACCGTCCTACTTGCCACCCAATCCCTTGCTATGTCGCCCATGACTATCACTCAACTCAGCTCTTCCAACTATCTTATCTGGAGATCAGAGATGGAGTCTTACCTGCGCTCCAAGGGCTTGTGGCTGCTTGTCAGTGGCTCTGAGAAGCGTCCTGCAGACTCACAGCCTGAGGCACAGGCTGTATGGGACCTTAAGGCTGACCAAGCTGCTGGGGAACTCTATCTGGCTTGCCCAGTGGAGATGAGGTCGCAGATTGATGCTATTGAAGATCATCCTGTGCTTATCTGGTCTACCCTTGCCTCCCTGTACTCTAGACAGCGTCGTAGCAGGAGAAAGAAGACCAAGAAGCTCTCCAGGAAGACTCAGAGTCTCGCAGACCCCACTGCATCGCCCTCTCCCACTTCCTTTCCTATTCCTATCAACTCTACTATCATTGAGTTTGCTGGCACTGCTTGTCTTCGCTCTTTTGACCCTTCAAGCACTATCTGTCCCCTTCAACTTGATGCTACTGTCGACTGGAATGCAGACACAGGTGCCACATCCCACATGACCCCTCATCGTCACTGGCTTCGCAATTATACTCCAAATCGCATCCCTATCAAGCTAGCTGACAACACCTTTGTCTACTCTGCTGGTGTTGGCACTGTGGTCTTTAACCCAGTCATTGATGGCAAGAGCGTTAGACCTGTCGAGTTTTCAAGAGTGTTGCATGTCCCTGACCTTCGCAACAACCTGCTCTCTGTCCTCTACCTCACTCGCCACAGTGGCTTCCATGTCACCATTGACTCAACCAAGATGTCATTTCAGCGTCCTGCAGGTACCACATTGTTTGTTGCACCCATCAGCAGCAGCAATGCAGCATTCTTAGATGGCTCCACCGTCCCTCTCTCTGAATATGCCTCTGCAGCGACACTCTACCTCTGGACTTGGACCTATGGCACAGGAGACTCGCCACCATCACTTAGCAGGTGTCAAGAAGCTTATTGATCATGACATGGTCACTGGACTCAAGCTAGATTCAAAGAAAATGCCAGATCCATCTGTGAGCCATGCTTAGCTGGTAAGATGCACGCAAACCCATTCCCCTCATCTCAATGGCGTGCTACTCGACCTCTGGAGCTTGTCCACACTGCAGCAATTTTATGGAATGCAGTTATACGAGCTGATAGTTTCTGTCGTTTCTCTTGAAGAGTAGCCTTCTGAGCAGCAGTGGCATCAGATGGGAGGCAATGAAACTCTGATTGTAACCCATCCCTAAAATGAATGTGGTCATGCTTTCATGATGAATCACTTATGACGTACTGGGCATCCTCAAGATTGATGCCTTGAATGATCCAAGATACTGTTCCTGTCATATACGGATCCGAGCACCCCCAATACCACCTATCATCAACGTCCCCACCCCTGGTCCGACCTCCTGTTTCCCCGTCCGCTCCATTCCTCCATCCCCAATAATGTATGAAGTGCATCTCAGCAGGATTAGCCCTGCTACCTCTGTCCGATCTGGGGTTCCGCTCCTCCGCCCTATCGGTCCGCCTGATCCTACTCCTACTCCCTCCGCTTTTCCAACCCGCGTGGATCCTTCAGTTCCACTCGTATTCCCCCTCCCGACTATTAGTCCATCCGACCGCCTCATGGTCCACTCCTAGACTAGGAACCACTCAACGGTCCTATCTCCATTTAGAATCATAGTTCTACTTTTCGGATCACTGGTAATTCCTATACCTTAGTGATTATTGATCCATCATGTACATACTGTTCTCCAAGCCTTATTCTCGTATCTCTCAGTCATCCTGTTTAATCCTGTACCCTCAGCACATAGCCTTCTACTATACTATGCTCATTACTTAGAGTATATAAACCTATGTCCATTTGTCTGTAGATACCCAGTCTAAATATTACCTTTTCTAAGCCCTGCTCTTCTGTTCTTTGACTTGGGCCTGATCCTAGTCAACTCCTGTTAGCCGGCCTAGGGGATTGACTCCCTAGGTCGGCCATTGTAGGGGCTTCAGATTTACAATGATACATATCAGTTAGCCATTATTTGCACTGGACAGTAGTAGTGATGAATTACCTTGATCAATCTGAGCTGACAAATGTCAAGATATTTGCCTCATTCCTCCATAGCCTTCTTTTCATCATTTCCCATATGGCAATTTTTTTCGTCATCCAATGAGTGTGTTAGCTCATCAAAAGGAGGCTTTGTATCGCTAATTCCCTTGATGGCTCGTTTATGCTTCTTCAAGAGAGTCTTGACTGTTTCTATCATGATTAATCACTTCTGTAATTAGAAACAAAACATTTACCAAGTCCAACTAGTTTCTTCCAATTGGAGTCCTGATCTGACCATGAGATCACCCTATATCTCCCTCCTGACATGTTTCCTAGGTCTATGATCTGTAGGATCACTTCCCAATAGTTGTAAAAAGTCCATCTGAACTGGAAATGCTGGCTTAGACACCCCTACTCTCGATCATGAACCTTATCCTTCATAAAATGTGTAACGACAAATCTTTCTCCAATTTTCCAGGGACTGACAGAGTGCTCCAAACCTTCCCACATATTTAAGAAATAGTTCAATGAAGAAATAATGAGGTTCGTACCTTGCCCAAAATACTTACTAATGTTCCAGGGAAATAATCAAGTTCTGCTTCTAGATCTTCGATGCGAAAATTTGCATTGTGCCCAATGCCCAAACTGGCTAGGAGGTCGTAATGAGATGAGGCCCCACCAGCATCATGGTGACCCAAAGTAACCCAATTAACAAAAGCTCTAATCCAGAAAAAATAGATGGCCATTGAGATGTTGGTGCAGTTTTTTAGACTGCAAAGTGGCACTCTATATCTTCAAGGCTGCAGCTAAGGCTGCCTCAAATTGTTCAGGAGCAATGAAAGCTGTTACGGCATTAAAGAACAATTCTGTGCCAGAGATGGCCTTTAGCCATTGTTGAACATATGCAAAGACTGCAATGATGGAGTGCCTTCAAGGGTATATATATTTAGAGATATAAGGCAAAAGGAGCTATGAAAGACACAATTAACTTGGACTACAGTGGACAGTGAATTGGTTCAACTTCCTTGGCTCAAAAATTTCATATTAATATTTGATCCAAATTAGGTTTGATGAATTTGATCCGACTTGGAGTTGACCCAAATTTCATTTAGACTCAAATGAGTCATAACCCCATGAGTTCAATCACCAAGCTTCTTGAGTAAGTAAGAAGAGACTGAATAATATGCAAAGACCAAAATGATAGAGTGCCTTTAAGGGTAGATATTTTCAGAGATATAAGGCAAAAGGAGCTGTGGTACGAACGCTAAGAAGTGAGTTGTGTGGTGACAACACATATTAAGCGTCTTTGAATGCTATTCTACAGCCCACCGGGGATGGGTAAGACTCTCCCTGCGAAAGCATCACCAATGAATGTCAAGCCAACTTCATCAGCATCAAGGGGCCTGAGCTGCTCATGATGTGGTTCGGTGAATCCGAAGCCAATTTGTGATGTATTCGACAAGGCCTGTGCTGGCTCCTTGTGTCATGTTCTTGATGAGTTTGCACTTCATTGTCAAGGCATTGGTGGCTCATTGGGTGATGCAGGAGGTGCAGGGGACTGCGTACTTAACCAAATATTGATGGAGATGGACAGTATGAATGCTAAGAAGAACATCTTCATCATCGGCACCAAGGCTGTTCATTAGAACAAACGAGGCAACTCACCTTGAGATCCTTGACTTCCTCAGAATCATTTTCATCATCATTTGAGCAGCATGATTACTATCAGACTTGAGGACCAGTGCTTTCGGGACAAGTGCACTCTGGATGGTCAAATTAAGATCTGATGTCAAGACCTAGAGTGATTGTGTTGAGTGTCCTGTCCTTCACCACATCTCCTGGTTGATTACAACGGGATCAAGGAAAAATAGCACAAGGACAAAACCATTTTACCATTTGATTCCGATCACACAAAACTGTGAACAACCATCAGATATAGTCTCGAGCTTAGATTCCATGTCAAGAGAAATCCTCGAGTGATCAAGTTGAGTGTGCAAATTATCATTGTCAGCTCTGAACCCCATCTTTTCCTGCCTTGATCTCAACAATCGTTGTTGTCAGCTTTATCACACCTAGCCTGTACAAGATGCTATCATATATTGAGTATACTACTTAAAACTCAGAATACTGACATTAACATAAGAATACTACTCAGATGTCATCATAGCCCAGGTCCAGTTCATCGGACGATACCTTGTTTCCTTTAAAGGAATATTTCCACAGTCACATGACTTGGAGAATGTATAGCAGGACAAAGTAGTACACAACAATCAATTACTAAGACTTTCATAATGCAAACCACATAAAGAAAAAATTAGGGAAGTGCACAACTTCAATGAGGGGGCCCTCCTCACCGAAGCCGTACACTCCAAAGAAAGTCTACAAAGTAAATTTATGACCCTGCTGAATAATTAGATATAGTTTAATCAAAGCAAGGCACTTAGCTTTGAAAGTCATATTGCGACAAAGTCCTGTAAGATTTATCAGCGAGAATGTTTTTGAGTAGTATGCGGACTTACAGATGATAAAAATGTCGCCCAGCATCAAATACGGCACTTAGCTTCTGAAATTTATGTTGCATCAAAGTCTTGTGAGACTAGAAATATTTCCAAGTCAGATGTGACTTAGGTGTGAATAAGGAAAATCACCGCTCATCATGAACATAAATGGCATGCACTGCATGCAAGCCCCCAGAATCAAGAGCGGGAGCCACTCACAAGTGGCATGCACTGCATGCAAGCCCACATAATCAATTGCAGGAGTCACTCACAAGTGGCATGCACCGCATGTAAGCCCCTAGATTCAAGAGTGGGAGCCACTCACAAGTGGCATGCACCACATGTAAGCACCCAGATTCAATAGTGGGAGCCACTCACAAGTGGCATGCACCGCATGCAAGCCCCCAGATCACCCACACCACTACCAACAGAGAGACGCTAAGAAGAGAAGATACACTAGAGGGAGATAACATCAGCGTGCGGTAAAATGAATGAAAGACTTACCAGAGAGACATGAAAAAATACTAGAGAGAATGGCAGATTAGCAGGCAGTGAACAGAAAAACATGGACTTGAGAACAATCCTGACACCGAATCTAACTGCGGGAGAGACATGAAAAAGACACTGGAGAGAGAGAAATGTTAGCGCACAGTGAACCAAGTGAAGGACACACCAGAGAAAACACTAGAACTAAAGAGAGAAACTAGCATAGTGAACACAATGAAAGATTTACCATTGAGTAGTGCACAGTGAACTGAATGAAGGACACACTATAGAAAACACTATAACTAAAGAGCGAAATTAGCGCGTTGTGAATGAAGTGAAAGACTTACCATTGAGTGGGAGACGCTAAATGGCTGTAGAGATAAACATTAGCAAACAGTACACAATGAAGAAAAAACTTACTGGGCATGAAAGTTGACATTATGGTAGATCCTTTGGATCCTTGCAGGTGCAGCCTGCAAGGATCCAAAGGATCTACCATAGAATTAGCGTGTATCATAGATTGATGAGAAAAGAAAAGGTGTGTAGTGTGAAGATGTGGAAAGAGCAAAGTCAACAGTGCGTTTGAAGTTTGAAGTTTGAACCAACATGTCTATTTGGTGTTGTTTGTTGTTTTGGACATGTTTGTGAACTTGCAAGTCTAGCACGTCTCCCGTTTGTAGTCTCAATATTAATACTATACCATTGTTCTCAGTGTTTACCATTGTTTCTGCGATTCTCTGATTTCGTGTTTACCCAGCAGCAGCCATCATATCAGTATATGCGATCCCAGCATCCACAACTGTGCCATGCCCCCTCGGACCAAAACAAACTTGTGAGAAGTGGACTGGTGGCGCAGCGCCTCATGTCACCCTCAACCTACCTGGTGCCGTTTCGACCATTTCAAGGTTAGAAGTGGGGTCTGTGAGGATTGAGGAGGAGAGAGAACGGATCATAATAATGTGCGTCTAAACACCATTTTTCTTTAACATTTCAACTAACTACATCTATCTACATCTACAGTGGCTCAAAAAACTGTCCACATGTTTTCACATTTTTCACTATCTATGATATTGTGAGAATATACAACACATCAAGGACATGCTGGTACCATATTGTAGTACTACTTCAGGGCTTCCAATTGAGCCCTATGGCGTGGGAATTGGTCGAGATATGGTGGAGATATGAGGCTTACAAAATGATGACTCATGCGGACAGTTTTTTGACTCAAGTATTTTACAGTGATAATCAGGTATTCTAGTACATTGTGTGACCTCCCTTGGCTTTAATTACTGCCTCTATCCTTCTAGGCATACTCTTAAAACTATATCTAACTATATAAACCAGAATGTCATGTGTCATGGTCATAATTACCATGAAAGCCATCTCCTCTACTCAAAGGGATAATATCTCTCTTTGTCCTATGCTGGCCTCTCTGCTCATCAAATTTCCTCTAGAACTGAAGTATGCAAGTCTACTGCAGCCAAGTGTATCAAAGAAAGCCACCTGGACAAGGAAAACTCTTGTGGAGGACGTCCACCTCTAATAAGGGGGCTATCATCCAACATATCACTACAGGAAAGGCTAATAATGCCCTCCAAGCCACCCATTATACCAATTCCACACCATCACCACCACTGTCTCTTCACAAACTGTGAGGAATGTTCTCAAGGCAGCTCATCTCAAGGCAGTAACAAAGAAGAAATGCCTCTTATCTCTATTAAACATAGGCTGAAAAGACTACCTTTGGCTTGGCCCATCAAAACTGGACTGTAGAGGACTGGAAGCATGTTATATGTTCAGATGAGACCAAAATCAATAGGATTGGGTCAGATGGGAAGGTATATGTATGGAAAAAGAAGAGGGATTTTCTAACAGACAGAGAGGTTAGTGAGGCTGTCAGATTTGGAGGAGGTTCTCTAATGGTATGGGGCTGTATGAGATGGAATGGTGTGGGTATGCCTGCTGAAGTTGAGGGGAGGATGGATGCTGAGCAGTATGTGGACATTCTAAATGACCACTTGCTGCCTAGCATAGCTGACTCAGGGATTGATGAAGAAGACATCATTTTCCAACAGGATAATGATCCCAAGCACACATCTAGGAGAGCCAGACAATGGTTTAAAGAACATAATATCAATGTTCTTGACTGAACAGCACAGTCCCCTGATGTCAATGTCATTGAACATCTCTGGGGAATACTCAAGAAGATGCTTCAAGCCTATGAAACCCCCCCTAAAGGAGTATAGGAGCTATGGGAGAGAGTAGCATGGAATGGGCAAGGATTACAGCAGAATATTGCCAGAAATTATTGAGAGTATGCCTAGAAGGATAGAGGCAGTAATTAAAGCCAAGGGAGGTCACACAATGTACTAGAATACCTGATTATCACTGTAAAATACTTGAGTCAAAAAACTGTCCGCATGAGTCATCATTTTGTAAGCCTCATATCTCCACCATATCTCGACCAATTCCCACGCCATAGGGCTCAATTGGAAGCCCTGAAGTAGTACCACAATATGGTACCAGCATGTCCTTGATGTGTTTGTACATTCTCACACAATATCATAGATAGTGAAAAATGTGAAAACATGCGGACAGTTTTTTGAGCCACTGTACCTACAGTTTTGTCTTGTTTGTCGCGATGGATTAGTGGATGACGACTGCTTGTTCATGTGCGACTTGTGTCCACGCACTATGTGCTCCTACTGCTTGCAGATCATGCCACATCACCAGGACATTATTTCTGGAGTCAGCATCAAATTCGTTTGCATTTCTTGTCATGTCCTAGCTCAATATCATGGCCGCTGCCCCCAAAATCCTTACTTTGTGAGTCCCTAACCTTTGTTTTGGTTTTATTTTTATTATATTGATTCAATCATGTATATATGACTACAGGGATTTTACTGTGATGGGAAGCCCATTTTCGACACATTCCTTCAGATCCATGGGGCACTTGAGTTGTCTCACCAAGCACAGGTTTTGGCCGAAACTGTGCTGTTTATACATCTCAACCTCATCAACAACAACGCAACGGGTGGACCTTTCAAACTCGCGCACAATTTTCTCATGCCATACTTTCCTAATGGTGGAATCGTTTTTTGTGAGGTCATCTTTGATGTTGGTTCTGATTCGAAGATCGTCAGGTTTCATTCTACGGTCAACAAACTTGTCCTTGAACTCTTGGCTTTCACTGGCGGTTGGAACACATTATCTTTGGGATCTCTGACCATACGGACAATACCTTTGGTGACCCCTTTGTAGGCTACAAGGGCAAGAAGAAATATATATTGTTACTCAAGTCAATACTGTAAGTTCGCTTGTTTAACTTCGCATGTGTACTGACAGTCTGAAACAAAGTTTCTGGACATTGTGCTTGGTCCTTTCAAGGATCTCATCAACCTTGCTGTTGAATCATACCTATGGCTGTTCTGTTGTGGCACTATTGTCAAAACTCTGAAAGCTTTGCAAACTTGAAGACCTCAGTACTCCAGTAAGCTATTCTTGATCCATCTTGTGTCTGACTTAATCTGGTTATACTAGACATCAACTTTATGCTACTGTAGCCTTCAATGCAGTACATTTCCAGCCAAGCTTTACCACACATATTCTTCTCGCATTCATCGAGCGTGTCATCATCAAGCGATTCTCTATCAGCCACGCATTCCCTCATGCTGGGTCACTCTCACAATTTAGGTCAGCACTCTGACATTTTATTGTTGGTGAAGAATTCTGACTCATTGAACATCACCAAGTTCGCATGGACCCATGCTCTGTTTCGCTTGGGGGCAGTACCTTCCTGTTCAATGCCCAAGTGTGGGTGGGTTGACTCATGGACTTCGGTGAACCATCACAAGGTTTATTATTTTGAATGTAAGAATCAGATTTGCAACCAGTCCTTTGATTTTCGTCAACCGGAGAATTTGACAAGAGTTCTTACATATGGTAAATCACCTCAGTTGTCTTGGATCCAACTTGCCCTGTAGGCCTATATTTTGCTCGCCCTTCATGTCTTATATCTACATGTCTCTTGTCGTACGTCTACAGTACTGAATCTATTTTGATGTGCTCTCAAATCATGAAGTTTGAAACGTGAATCAATCCACGATCACATGCTTAAACACGATCACATGATCCATGTACATGTTGATGTTGATCAGAATAT